TCTCTCTCTCTCGCGCGCGCGCGCACGCGTAAAACGCGGTCTCACGAATGCTAACGGAATTCGAAGTTTTCAGCGGCTTCTGCGAGCTAAACTCTCTCGACAAGATTGAATAATTAGACTGCGGTCCGTGCAACTTTGAATTATGCGTGTTCACGCCATTGCGCCGGAAGACCGAGGATCCTTGAGGGACCAATTTGTTGATTAAGTCCGCCGTAAATTCAGCTTCTTGTCTTCTAAAGATCCGGGAAAGCGTTTTCCGAATAATATCTTGACATCAATATTTATATATCAATGTATCAAATATTATATTTGCTACTTTACTATTGAACGTACGTAAAGTATAATCAAACACAGAAACGCTAACTTGAAGTCATACAGAAAATTTAATTCTGAGTATTCTCGAAAACATGCCATAGAAATTTCGAGCATATATGTATTATTTGTTAGAATTTCACTAAGAATTGAATTTTCTTCTCTATTTCAAGCTACCATTTTTTTATTTGATTATATGTTTATCTTGCATCTTTTAAATAAATTTGATAAAGATTGAGTCAAAATGGGAAATAACAAAAATCGAAAAGTCGATCTGTAATTATATTAAAATTGCAACAAAAATCTGGGAGTAATCTAGTCAAGATTGAGATGGTCGGATATTTCTCGCGGGTATTACGCAACTTGTTCTGGATATTTTCCAGTCAAATTATAGGGACGTCAACACCACCAGCCGGTATCCCTGTCATCCACAGCGCCCGGCTATGGATCGAGGGCAGCGAGCCTCGCTTTTGAGCGTAAAATTGAATCAACGCTTTTTAAATGTCCCGTACACTTCGCTGTATACATTTCGCTCAGTGTTGCCCGTTGCGTTTGATGCGGAACGAAGATCGTTGACAACACGCCGTACCGAATTGTTGCAAAATTCGCGACGCGATACATCATCCGACGGCCGGACGTTAAGCATACAATTCGAACGAAGCGAAAGTGCTTGCGGCAAGCAATTGACAGAATTTAATAATTAACGATAAGCGCGATCGACACCGCGCATATTTCAAGAAATGTCACGAGCTAAGGCTTCCCTGCCTAAGTATATTCCCTTGAATAAATAAGATCTAATCTGACTGCGCTCGAAAAAGGAGTAATATTGGCGTTATCGATCAATAATAATTAATGATAAGTATATTTCCTGTAGACCTTCTCAAGTCCTCTCGTCGAGTGCACTCTCGACGATAATCCGGGTGAATCCGTCCGGAGTGAAATCACGAGGGCCGCGGCAAACTTGCCCGAACGAAACCTTGACAATGCCCGCCGGTCACGACTACACGAACGCTACGCGATATGGTAACTTCGCCCTCCGATCCGACTACACGCACCCAGGGCCTCGCCCTGCCCTGAAGTTCGCGCGGCCGGTTACGTTACACGAGGAGCTACGTAACGCTGAGAGAGAGAACTTAAGTACTACCCGTAAGTCATATTTAATCCGACTCACCGGCTCGACGTGCCCGTGCTGCTATCCGGACTTCGGCCTTCTCCAACGTCGACCCATTGTATCTGCCACACGCATCTGCAAGAATATATATAAGACAGTAGTTAGATAGAGATAATTAGATCGTGAAAATGACGGCGGAAACTGGTTGAAGTTTAGAACGTTCCAAACTTTAACCAGCTACGACGGACTTAAGGTAAATAACAAAAATCACGGATATCCATGAATCTGCGTTTAATTTATAATAATGTTAATTTTTCATACACAGAACATTACTACAAATTGTCATAGATTTTCTTAATCATTAGATAAAATTTGTCTAGTACGACTTCTATATTAAAGATGTGTAATAACTAAAAAAATAAATAAATCGCTGCTATCACGATGCATTCGATCTCATTAGTCATAGTAAAGATTATCATCGCACGAGATTAATTGGTTAATTATCGACAATGATGTTCGGAGAAAGCTAACTTATCTGAAACTTCATTTCACCCTTGCTCAATTCCGCATATTACACTGATACGTGTGCCCACGCAAATATCCGACGGAACGTCGTCATAGTCGCTGCTCATTACGACGAGATCTCTCGATCTGCGTCGCTTCGAACTGCGAATGTCAATTTGAGGAAGACGAGAGCGCCCGCCGGGGATCTCGCGCGAACTCGTGACGTCGCCCGGCGATCCTGGCGAACCGATAAGTACTCGCTCCGGGCGACCGTAGGATTTATTGCCAGGTCTTGCCGGTCTTCTTCTCGCTACGAGCCACCCTTTAGACAGCCCTCAACCGCCCGACCGTCAACCTCTTGCTCCCCGCTGACTTTTACCGTCGTCCCCCCCTCGTCTTGTTATGCCGCGCCGAGCGATTCGCGGAGTGCCTCCCCGGCCGAGACTCCGACTTCCGTTTTATTGGCGGAAATAATCTTTGATGTGATTCCGCCGCGTCTTGAAAGTTTTTCTGCCGTTACGCCGGGGGAGCGACGGTAATCGATTCTCGGGCGAGGAAGAAGAAGAAGAAGAAGAACGTTGTTCGGCGCAAGATAAACCCGACCGATCGGCATAATGCTTTAACCGCACCGATGTTCTTATCGGCGTTCCATCATATCAATGCGCACCGCGAGCTCCGATGGCGCCATAAATGAGAACGGTCGTTTCGAAGTAAAGTACAACATGGGATAATGATTGTTTGCGTCGCACCTTCGAATCCCTAAAAAGCGACATAATTTAAATCCAGAACATAAACTGGATTATCGTTAACAAAATGTAGTTTCGAAACTGCGATTGTTTCTACGAGCGCTGAATAATCCAATATATAAATCATAAAGACTTACGTATATTTAAAACAATTTTTTTAAAACATTGCGTGAAAGAATTAATTCCAATCAATTAATTTAAAACGAAATCTTTCTTTACGATTTACCGGGCATCTTGTACTCTTTGTAATCATCGCAAATATAAAAATAGGTATTCTAGAATCGAATAATGTATCGCGCGTAATTTTTTTATTTCATTCTATCTTAATAAAGAGAGAATTGCGGCACCGTTATTGCAGCCTTGCTGCGTTTTTTAATCAGCTAATGTAGTTACGGAACGCTATTCTCAAATCGTACGAGATAGAGAGCGGCACGATTCAACGGCTCTCCTCTTCTCGGCTCAACCCTTTCGCCGCGAGTAACAAAGGAACAACGCCGAGTCCCGCCGCGGTATCTGCGACCCATCGCTGTCTTAATTTCCTTCGTAATCTACGATATTAATATGGCTTAGGGTCGGTCGACGCGCGTAATTTCGCGCCGCGTAGAAATTAATAGAAAGACGAATGTTCCCTCCGCGTGCTTTACAGTTGAACGCTCGACCGGAATGGTTAATGGCGACGATTTCTGCGCGTTTCCGCGCGCACGACTTTGCGAAAGCGTAGCCTGCGACCAGCGCGAAAGGAAACGCCGTGTCTTCCGAGACAAAGTTTCGGCTTAACGATGCGACATCATTCCGCATTGTGTTAACGTTTGGACAGTAGTAATTGATTATATAATATTACTCCAGTAATTGTTATTAAAGTAATCATCAGTGAGATCAATTAATTCGTAATTTACGGAGAACATAAAAATTTATCAGCACTTTTCTTCGACTTAAACGCATTTTGAAAATCAAAAATTCATGATCTTTATTTTACAAATTAATACAATACAGAATTGGCTAAATATGTAATCAAATTAATGGATATCGAGTGTGTTTACTAAGCAATCAAGTGATTAGTAATTGTGGTTATTAAATAATCAGTAATATATCGTGGTTAATAAATCATGAAAATAATCATGGCTAAATTAATACTCGGTCTTGTGATTAAATTAATAAATCGTTAAATAGAAACTGATTTAAACGTTTATATAACTCGTGCGTTTATTAATTAATTTTCTCTTGTTCGAATTTTTTTCAAGACTTCAGTTTAATTTCCATGACGTTACGAAAAATAAATAAAATTATATTTTTCCCAAGCTTTCGTTTGAAATATCGTACTCTTCGTATTTTGCTTCGTATAACATTGGAGGCCGCGATTCATCGGAATTTCGCCTTGTTGAAAATGACACGCGCAAGAGGTATTCTCCCCGGCACGCATCTTGTTCAAACGTCGCCTCGCGCGCGATAGCGACACGCGGAAGTCCTCTCGGCATCCGTCCATCGTTTCGCGCATGCGATCGCGGATCGCACGTCGGACAATGAGACGTGATTCGAGACGGCGGCGGCGGCGGCGCGCCCTGCCGCTTTGTGTTATCGAGTGGCATTCCGACACGCTTCTGGAGTGACATTTAGATAGCGACGTCAACTGTCTCGCGAAGCAAATCCGTCGTGGAAGCGAAGGCTCTCCTCTCCTCGTACTTCCCCGGAAGCCCGACGGCGAGAGAGCCCTCGCCAGCGGAGCGAGCGAATTCACTGCTGATCGAATTAGCGCGCCACGGTTCCCCGATACCCTGACAGTCTGAATTAATTAACAGGAGAACGCGCTAGGTAAGCAGCCATTATCGCAACAAAGTGCGCGCCGCCGCGCGCCGGGGCGAGAGATGTGACTGTTCAATGGTGCAGTCATAAACGTCAACTGATAGACGGCATAAATTTTTTAAATTGTTCTGATTTCCGGAGGAAATAAATTCAATTTTAATTGTACAGCAATAAATTTACAGTTACAAAAATATCACTTTAATAATACATATATAAGACGTAATAACGCGATATTTGCGAACAAACGATCGACAAGTTTAATTTTCGTTACAAAATCTTTCAATTTTTCCACTCGAGCGTTACCTCTCGCCCGTCGAGTTTCCGAGGCATCGAGATGAATAAAGAATATCCTCTCGATTCCTCTGCGAGGTCCTTCCTATTAGATAGCGATAGTCTCGCGCGCGCGGCGAGAATTTTGCGTCTCGGCGCGACGTCTTGACTCCATTAACTTCACACTTAGCGGCACCTTAGAAAGCCCGTTGCCGTCGGGAGATCTGATTAGGGGTTCGAGTCTCTGCTAAACGCGTTAGTCTCGGGCTGCGGAGTGTCGCGCGCGCGAGAGAGGACGGGGGGGGGGGAGGAGGACGCGGCACCATCAGGTGTTAGAGAGTGGCGACCCCGGCAAGTGTAGGCACATGGGGGAGGGAGAAGGGCGGTCGTTGGTGTCTGTCTCTTCATAGTTTGATGCAAATTGAGTACGAGCACCACCAACTACCGGCAGTATAGACATTTTCCTGGCTTTCTCTCCCCTCCTGTCTATCTATATACAGACACATACCTATACACACCTATCTACCTCGATCTAGAGCCTACTCTCTTCCTCTCTCTCTCTCTCTCTCTCTCTCCTCCTCTGTTCTTGGAGAAGACTCCGCGATCGAGTACGAAATTCATTCCACGCGACCCTCTTCGGGCTTCAAGCAAACCTCCACCTCTCCCTCTCGATCTTGACTACCACCAAAGTGTTGCCGTTTGGGGTTTCCCGTCCCATGTTGCGGAGCTCGCGTTGTTTGCCGACGAATCTCGGCAGGCTTTCTCTCGACTTAGCAGCGACAAGAGAAGCGCGTCGCGTTTCGATCGTTTAACAGTTTGCCCGACGGGATCTTTCGCCAATCAATTTCATTTGTTTTCCGTTGTAAATGTGCCGTTCTATTAAAATCAAGATTTTTTTCTATATATACATACACAAATGTATATATATCAAAATATATAAATATAAAGAAGCTATTATGTTTCGTTCTATAAATTCCAACATGGAAACTATTCTCGCTCGAACTTTAATTCATTGAAATCTATAATGACCGCTATCAACGTCGAATATCGCATTCGCTTCGGCCATTAAATATCATACAGATTGATAATGTTATTTATACCTATTGCCGTTTAAATATAATAATTACTGTAAATTACAGAACGTACTAGTTTTCTCCTAATCCGGATATCGGATTTAAATAAAGTCTTTCGGACACATGTACGTTTAATCTTCGGCTCGCCAGGGTATGAAAACGATACACGAAGCTCCGAAAACGACCGGCGATACTAATGTCTCGAACGTTTAGCGTTGCAGATTACAGAAACTGCGTTTATCGAGGAAATATAGTGCGTATCTAGACGCGAAATCACGACACCATTATAAAGGATCGTTCTTTCCTGTCGCTCTCCGTCGAAATTCCTCCCTCCCTCCTCTCGCACCTACGGCTCCGTAATGTTCCTTTTTATGGTGCATGATTCGAAGCTGCCCCCGGGATCGATTTTGTTCCGTAGCGCGGTACTTATCGTACCCCGTTACGAGGGCGCATTGCTTTTTATGGTGGTTACATGTTCCGATCGCACACGACGCGCCATCTTCTTCTCGCTTCTTTCCTCTCGTTGCCCTCGCCCCCCCCCCTTTGTTCCTTTTATTCCCGCGAAACGAGATATCTAAAATCGTCAAAAAATCGCATCGCCTAGGTAAATATACTGTCTCATAGATAGATTCCCCGATGCGAGCGCGGACTGTTCGTAGAGGAAATCGGAACAGGAGCGATTCTAAGTTTTCTCATTTGATTTTAAGGATGCATTGAGCTTATTTCACGAGAAACAGAATCATTTGGTATAATTAATTCAATCACTTAATTGAATCGCAATCGATAGGACTAGCGGAGATGCTAAACCTGTACAAAATCATTAATGTGTCTTATATCTCTCGAATATCCGATACGGTGTCCTGATTTCATTGATAGGAGAGGGGGGGGGGAAGCGTATTTATATATTACGATTAACCCACACTCGGCTATCGATCGAGGCATCGCGGACTCACGTGCTTATCGCGGGCAGATATTTTAAGTTCAATTATACCGTCGCCAATCAGGCTGAATATAGAATCGTCGCTTGTTATTTCGGAACGAGTCACCAACGCGGACTCTGACGCATCTCGTATTTATATTTCTGAATCAACAACGCGGGCCAGCGAAAATCTTTAATGGCGGCAAACAAAATCGAAGTTACGCCGAACGACATAAATACGATTTACGCGATCAAAAACCGCGTTTTTGGAACCGTAATCAGTAAACTTATATTTATAGCAGAATCTGTATAAATAATCTCTGGGCTGCATTCGTAACTCTCTTTGTATTTATATTTCCAAATCAACGACGGGGAGTAGCGAAAATCTTTCATGACGGTGAACAAAATCGAAGTATGCCAAACGAGATAAATACAATTTATACGCGATCAAATACTCCGTTTTGGAACCGTAATCAGTAAAACCTATATTTGTAGCAGGATCTGTATCAATAATCTCTGTGATGCACTCTCTTCGTATTTATATTTCCAAACTATTTCAACGACTGGCTAACGAAAATCTTTAATGGCGGTGATCAAAATCGAAGTTACACGAAAGGACACAACTAATATGATTTACACGATCAAATATGTCGTTTTAAAGCCGTAATCAGTGAACTTGTATTTATAGCAGAATCTACGTATATCAAGAATCTAAATCAATTCAGATTTGTCTTCATTTACGTCAAACATCACACATATCTTTCGGTTGTCACGATAGATAGTCGTCTTTTGATAAAAAATACCGCAGACATTCAATCAAGACTATCGCAGCTAAATAAACTTGAGAAGAAACTACAATTTTAAATACAACCGTTATACATTTACTCGAGTAAGTGATTCTACATTCTTCACGCACGTTAATCCCGTCGAACAAATTGCTCGACGGCGGCGTCGGTGAGGACGTGTTCGCTGAGTCCACCGAAAAAAAAATGCAGATTCCGCCGACGATACGGCCCGACGTACGTCGTAGAGAATCTCATTGCGATTTCATGGTCCTCGCGGAAGGAGACGACGTCGGCCGACCGGCTCGTTTCGAATGCTACAAATGTGCCGCGCGCAGCTCGTTCAGGTGGCTCCGAGTAGGTGCTGAAAAAAATCACGTCTGCATTTACATAAGCGCCGGTATAAACCACTCGGCGGAGAAATCCCGACATAAAACCCAAAACAGGATCCCGCGCGCGGGACAGCACATCCGTTGAATACGCAATGGCCGTATGTAGCCGATGTACCCCGTCTACCGTCCCTCCTTCTCTCCCCGCCCCCCCCCCCTCCTTACCGAAAAATACGCTTTTATTATTCACCGGTGAATTACGAACGCGACGGTATACGCGTTTTACTCCGGCATTTACATGAAGTTTACACGGCTCATCGACGACGTCTCCGGCGGAAAGTATCGCTCGTTTCATCGATAAATCCGGTTGGCATCGAGGCACGCTCTTCTTTTCTATAGATTTGTTTTATTGTCATAAAATTTAGGAATTTTCTTAAGTACTTAACAATTGTGACTGCAATATTAAAAAGAAAGGATTTTCGTGCACATTGTTGCATCTGAAATTGAACATTAACGATGACTTATCGAAAATTAGTTGTCTCAACAATTACTGCAAAACATACTCAGGATGTTTCTTTTATTATTTTATTGGATCGTTAAGAGTTAAAAAATGGCATAAAATTTAAGATAGTATAATGATGCTCGAGGCAGTCGATCCTTATGTAAGAAATAAAGAGACGAGGATCGATTCGCGTCGCGAATGGTCTACATTAATGATATCCGAGGGACTCGACGTGTCCCAAAGACGACTCTCGAAGTTCCGCGAAGCTCGTTCGCAAGACAAATCGCGCGAACACGCCCGTCATATCGCGGCGATCGATATACGGCGGTATGTATAACGTCCGGAGAGTGATGTTCCCGGTGCCTGACGGGAATTTTCAAGCCTCGTGGATCCCGGCGAAACGATTTTCGTGTCCCTCGTGGATCCTCGATCCATTGTGCCGCGACGGAAAGCGCCGGCCGTCCTTACGAGCCCCGGCTTTCATGGCTCTTTAGCATTTCCGGCGTAACGTTCCTTTATGCGGACGCGCCTTCTTCTCCCCCCCGCAGGGAAAGGGCGCGGTAGAGAAAAAATTGACTTTTAAACCGGCAATAAAAACGAAAAATGTGAAATCTTTGATTTTAAAGGCCCCGCCAGCCCACCGCTCGCCCCTCCTTCGCGGGGGCGACAGTTGGTCGATGCGTATAACCCTCGGTGGCAACCTTATTTCTCTGATATCGCAAACCAAGCACGTTCGGTACCTCGCCGCCACGCCGCCGTCCCGAAATCCGCGTGCAGCGGGTATGTATATCGTGTCGGATTACTCCAAAATCCCGGACTTTTATACGCTGAATTTTAAAATACACTCTCTTCGGGTGCCCCGTCTCTCTGATTTTATTCGTCGACATCCGCGAATGGACAGAACTTGTCGAACTTGTGCGAACGATCTGCTAAAGATTTCCCGTCGCATCAAGGCGGGCATTGTTTTACATCTATTATCGATAAGTGCGGAGGAAAGTTAGAGATGCGCTCGTGAAGAGGAAGAAGAAAGTAAGAACGAGAGAAGTGCAGAGATTTTTCCAATCGCGGTAATCCGAGTACGAATGTCTGCGAATCGACTGAAAATTTACATTTAAGTGTCTTGAGAGACGCCGGAGGAAGTGGATGAGGGGCGGCGCGTTTCGCCGCTTGTTTTTATTTTCTAGCAATTTCCTCGGCGGAGCAGAACGGAAAGTGACCTTAAAAGGAATTAGCACGCTTTACCGCTCCTGCCGATTTCGCGCAAGTTGTAAATGGGAATTTCTTCCCGTTCCGCCGCCATGTCTAAACGCTGCGAATCGATATGATAACTAAAAAGAAAAATCAATAACAAAATAATAAACCTAACAATATCTGAAATTAATATGATGATTAGTCTTTAGCTCAAACAGATTATTGATCATTATATTAATTTCAGTATTCTATTACGTTCATTAATTCGCTATTAATTTTCCTTTTAAATATAATAATTGCAATTTCGCAAAGATCGTGAATTTTTCATTTCGAGATTCATCTTCGTCATAATCAACAACAGCCCTTTTTTCGTCCACCGCTGGACATAAGCCTCTCTTAACCTATCAAGATTAGAAAAATTTAGCCATTTCCCTATCACGCTGATCAGTACGGGTTAATAAGGGGATCAGTTTTGTTGATCCAGGTATCGTGACTCCTTCAACATATTTATGCGATGTGCGCTATTTCTAATTTACACAGATATATGAAACCTACAATTTTAAAGCCGGTTCCAAACGGAGCCTAATTAGAGATTTCCATGACAAGATATACTCTCTCGATTTGCCATTACTTTCCGACAAGTGACGATCGAATAAAAAAATCTAATGTTTCTGATCGGATTTTAACTCTTTGACACCGAAAGCAGAAACTCTCTGCGCCACGAGCACCACGTCGATTCGAGATTACGCAGTATAATTGTAACGCGACAAAAATTAATTTCTGATTGCAGATTTTGCGTGGGCGACAGATTTTATCTCTGTGATAACAAGATCCTCTGCGAGTACGATTACGAGGAGAGGCTGGTTTTCGCCAATATGGCCCTGCATCCGCCGCCTAGCGCGACCCTGGCCCACATCAAGAGACAAGTGACCCATCTTCAGCCGCAGGTATATATAAAACAATTTGCGTCTGCATCCGCATCTTGCAAAACTTGCGCGCGACGATAAGACGAGTTATAGATTTACGTTGTTATAGAGCGCGCGCGCGCGCGCGTCTATCGATCAGACATATTTTCGTTACGAGGTAACTCTACGTAAGATACAGTAGTGGGCGCGTCGTACGGAATCTCCTCTCTGGACCCTGGCCATCGGGTTTCAAAACTCCTCGCGCAAGGCTCCGAACTCCTCGAGGCGCAACCCCTTAAGGCGGGTTAAAGTGGCAGGTCGCCTCGTCCTGACCCTCTCGACAACAAAGGACTCCCCCGGGGGCTTCAGCTATGCTTTATCATCCTACCATCGTCTTACGAGTTAGGATATCGCGTGTCCTTATTAATTAAGCTCTGCCCGTTAAGCAAGCCTCGTCGCATGCCTTAACGATTCGCTCCTACTCCGCTCCTGAAGGCGGAACGTGCGAAAGAATTTACTCTTCGCGAAGATCGTTAGACTTTCGAGAACTATTTCGTGAAATTACGAGATTGCACATTTTTCTAGAACAACAAATTTTTTATCAACCGATAAAATAATTTAAGAACTTTCATGGCACGAGAGAATAATCTTGAAACAAGTGTAACAAAACTTAAAAAGGAAGAAGATACAATAGAAGAAGAAAAATAAATTTTTCTTTCTATAGAAAATTATAAAAAAGGCATATTTCATGTATTTAATTAAATGATTTAAAGTGCAAATAGATAAAACTGAGATAATAAGGGACAAATGACAAGCAACGAAGAGGGAGGCGATTTTCACGAAGCAGGAACGTCCAGAATTATGAACTCATCGGCGTTAAGCTTGTTGGGATTAAGTCTTCTTGATTATCCTAAGGCAACAGCGTTGCTTCGAAACAATATCTTAAGCCCCTGCCGCACGAAGGACCACGTCCTACTCGACCTTAGGAGCCTATCCATTTAATCCGGGTGCCGTCTTGCAAGGATTCCGCCCCGTCTTCCTTGCACAATAACTTGTCACGTATTCTAATTCGCGATATTTACTTAGAAATGATCGGAATAATGCTAATATAGATAAAAAAAACTTTATTTTATTATAACGATATTAGAATTAGCTATTGTATTCCATTTATATTTAAAAGTGAATTAAATCATGAGTAAATGTCTAAACACACAAACTTTTTTATTCATTTTTATGCAAAACGAATTTCTCGCACGAAAATTAAGTTGTTAAATGCGCCATCGGTAATCGCTGCTATTATAATAATACCGCCCGGCGCCATCCCCGTTATTAGAAAATCGTTAACGAGCCGCGGTGAAGTGTTCGTCGCGGGAGTTGGAACCTTCGGGAGGCCTCTTAGAAGCGGTCTGAGGCCGTAGATGCTCGTCCGCACGCTCGAATCGTACGCATGCACAGAATAACGAGGTCCCCCGACTCGATGATATCAAGCCTCGTAACGTGTACTACTTATAATATGCAAATTCGCTACCCTTAACCGCCCTCGCGAGCGAGCTGCGTGTAATTCAGGGGTTGGTAACCCTTGCGACTCTATTCCTGGGCCGTGCGTGCGTGCGTGCGTGCGTGCGTGCGTGTGAGCACGTCGCTTACAATGTTTAAAGAAATATCGGCTCGCGTGAATGTAAGAATGTAAACATTTTTCAGGGACGACCAGGCACGCGTAAATCTACCCCCTGCAAGGTCGAACGTGTGTATGTGTGTGTGTGTGTGTGTGTGTATGTGTACGGCGTCTCGCGTCTCAAAAATTCGTGAACTCGTCGACTCTCGAGCGGTGTCCGGGACGTGTCGCTTTAATTAATATGAGATATTTTTTATTGCCCGACACGGGGAAATCGACGCTGTTGTTTTTTTCCCTCCCCTTCCTCCTGGTAAATTTCTGGTACCGTCAATCGGGAAAAATTGGCACGTCCGCGGTGTATTCCGCGATATTGCGCGATCCACAGCAGCTTTCACACGCAATATCGATTCGCTCGGAGGGGTTTACGGGTTATAAATGACCGGTGTGCGAAATAACGGGATGGCAGACTAATGCCAATAATCGGCGTGGCATGCTAATGTCGTCTGCGCATCTATTACGCTAAAGCCTGACGGATCCCTCTTGACATCTCGTTCCTGGAGCGTGAATATCTTCGATCGCGACGCGAACACTCAAGATATCTACTAGCAGCCAGCCCGAGGCGGGGAGGGGGTCGTTTCACATTTTGCATCTAAATAAGAGGAATTAACGCGTGCGCGGCGCACTTTTGTTCCAGATAGAAAATATAACGTTGCAAAAATGAGTGACCGAACCGAAATAGTCGCACGATTAAATACGTGAGTTTTAAGATTGATCGAGAGATATTATTTTAGTGGCCAAATACAGCCCGCAAAAGAAGAAAATGTTGAGCTCTCGTTAGATTTAGCATTCTGAAAAACGCAAGGACGAAATTGAGAGTACCTATAAAACGCACGTAAGAGGAAGAGAGACGAAAGACGAAGACACGCAGAGAGAGAGAGAGAGAGAGAGGAGAGAAGGCGTTAAGATTCTTAAAAACCGCAAAGAGGGTGCTCGTCCTGAAGGCAGCTGCCACCCTTGTACTCTCCTTAAGCCGCGGCTCGTCGACGAGCGGCAAGTACCGCCGACGGATGGTGGAACGAAGGGAAGGGAAGGTAGTTTTTCTGATTGCCTGAGAACAGACAGCTGTCCCAATCTTTCTCAGCCGCCCTGGGAAGGAAGGATCCGCCGCGCTTTTGGCGAATAATGCCGGGGAGTGTTGCTTACGAATAACTCGAGTATGCCTGATCCGGAGGGCGGGAGGAGGGTTGAATCGAGAGAGAGAAAGAGAGAGCAGAGGCGACGAGGGAATGAAAGGAACGAGGCGCTGGACCGCCTTTAGCCGTCAGCATCGACAATCGAGTTGTCTCGGTGGAGACGGATGACGGATCGTTTCCGATATCGCGGTCGACCTATTGAAGCTTTATCGCGCGTCGGAACGCGAGTTTTATGCACGGGGATTGCTTCAAAATCGATTATGTTTTCTCTATATTATTATACGCGACACCGCGCGAGACTCTCCGCCCGTGATGGGCGTAATTAATAATTTTCACAGCTCGCGCGGTAAAAAGTTTATTTTGATCTCCAGAAATAATTCCGTGGAATAAAGAAGTTGAGAAGACGTTACAGCCCCCGTATCTTTAGAAGAAAGTCAATTAAAGAAAAACGCCATCGCTCCGCAAATAGTAACGACGGCAGAAAGACTCATGGAGCCTTAGCTGCGTTACCCAACGGAGGAGGAGCTTCGATCGAGGAGCCGCGCAATCTCATTCTCCTTAGAGACAAGTGTAACGCGCTTAAAAATTGGCGAGAACTTTTATTTCGGTCTAATTTTCCCCTCGGGACTCGACGCGGCAGAGGGAGAGGGAACTGAAAGGGGGAAAGCGTAGCGGGGGAAATATAGACACGGAGTAAGAACGAGAAAGCGAAAGAGAGACACGACGAGAGTTTGGAACGATTATCTGAGTTTTAAAACAAACTCTCGAGTGTCTGCGAAGTCCTTCGCGAATCAAAGCGGGGGGAGGGAGAGGGGAGGCGGAGGGGAGTCGAGGTGCCAGAAGGGGGTCGTGGGGAGAGACTGAGACGAGAGGGAATAGGAGGGAGAGGGGAGGAGGGGAGCGTTACGGAGGTGAGATAATATGCTAATGCCAAGACGGAAGGTACATGGGAATTTAAGAGGATCAATGTGCGCAGTACGAGATTCGTATACGGGGAACGAGGTATTACAACGTCCTCTATATTGCTTCCAGGCGATTAGATTCCTGAAAGTTCGTTGAACGCGCGCGGGGCGACTAATTTCGACGAAATTAAACTTTCGATTGAACGTCGCTTTTATTAGATCTGAGTGTTCAATATCCATTTGTTCATTGCAGGGGTGAAGTAAACGCCGTTGACGGACGTATCGCGCTCGAAACGATAAATTGAAGAGGTTGAAGATGTCGTATTGCATTGCTTAAGAAAAATATTCCGTTATTTGTCTCGTTTTTTGTTTTCTTAACGTTACATGTAGAGAATCATATCAGATAAATATTAAAAAAACTAACGAAACAACCGAATTAATACTGACAAATCTTTGGAATAAACGGAGAATGGGGATATTCCATTATTAAAGGATTTATTATAATGTGCGTGTATTTTTTGCACAACTAATGCAATTTCCATTATCAGCATTGCGTTAATTATACGAAATTGATTTAAAATAGTTGCTCCGATATGAATGAAACACTTAGTGATCGATATAACGTATGCATTAGAATACCCGAATAGAATGTGTCAGAATAGGATATGATACCATTAATAATAATTAATGTAGCGCACGGTTAATCCCTCGAAATGTAGCGTTTAGCGAAATGGACGCGCATCATCGTAATGCAGTACTATACAGAGCCACGAGCGTATTCCCACACTGAACAAAGCCATTAGTCCATCATTAATCCTTCATTGTAGATACTCTATCGTTGTACATGCGAATACGATCTGTTTAGAATTACATCAGGGGATGTCATAAAATTACACAAAATGAATATTCTATCGGTAATTGATTTTAAAAATGTATTAAAGAATCGGAAAAATTTCAGCGCGTCAGAGGATTTATCACGCGCGGGAATCTCTCAACGTTTTATAATCAAGATGTTTTCTGAGCGTAACAAGTTTCAGAGCCTAATCGATGGCCGATCGATCAGCCGATTAGATTGCTTCTTGGTCAACGTAGCGTAAGCTCTATCGTGACAGGAAGACAGAGAGAGAGAGAGAGAGAGAGAGAGAGAACGCAAAGAAGAGGGAGACAGACGGAGGCACGTACATACGAACCCTCGCACGCGCGTGTACACGTCGTTCTTGTTAACGAGCGCATTATTAGGTGCACCGTGCTTGGCTGAATTTCACGTAAAGCCTCCGCGCGGCCCCTTATACAATGCGCACGCCGAGAAAGCTCGCATGGGAAAGCCCGGCTTGCAAGCTTATGCGAGATTATGAGTTTAGTTTGGGAAACAACTCCGAGAGCTATGCGCTACGTGGCCGAGCTTACTTTTATAACGATTATTACCGACGAGTGCGCGGACCTCTGCCGTGGCGAGGGGTCGACCACGCGGTGGCCGAGTTCGCCTCGACATCGAAGTGAACGAGACGCGTGGCGAATTTTTTTTTAACGCAGCACTCAATATTGCAGGCGCTTGGCAGTGATAAATGAGAGGGGGACGAAAAGAAAGTTCAATCAAAGGTTCAATTCCAAATCAAATTTGCGAAAATTGTAATTGTATAAAAGAATTAAAGGGCATGTGCTGCAACAACCCACAACATAGATAGAATACGTAATATTGGTACAAGTGACTGTATTATTTCTCATTTTAACTTTAGAATTCATTTTCTCTGTTTTTACGAAATGTAATTTAATCCGCTGTTGCAACAAGCCCTTCAATCTACAAATGAAAGTCTTGCTGCAATAATGAGCTAACCTATACACTTTATGGATTAACAACGGAGAAAATAAACTTTGAAGTTAAAATGATGAACTCTCTCGAGTTCATAAAACGTTTTTATAAAATGTAGATTAGCTCACTGTTGCAACAAGCTCTTCAATTGACACGTGTATCTTTTCTCACGGCAGCCTCGTATTAATTTTTTATAAGAAAGAAGAATGTTAAATAAATTTCTTTTTCCAGCTAACCCACATTTTATGGGTTAACAACGGAGAAAATAAACTTTAAAGTTAAAATGATGAATTCTCTCGAGTTCATTTACTCCGTTTTTATAAAAATGTAGATTAGCTCACTGCTGCAGCAAGCTCTTCAATTGACACGTGTATTTTTTCTCACGACAGTCTCGTATTAATTTTTTATAAAAAAGAAGAGTGTTAAATAAATTTCTTTGTCTCCCTGCACAAGAATCAAGTGCGGGAATAGCCGTACCGGGCTAACGACCCGGCCAGTAAATTCCGCTCCTAAACGATCCCGTGGCGATTAACGATGTCTTGCCTAATTCTCATCTCGTGCACCCCCGGAGAGGTCGGACTCGCCTCTACGAGCATCGAACGTGTTCGTGGTGGGTGGCGCTAATTTTTGCGCGTAAGAAAAGCCGCGCGCCGGAGCGGAGCGGAGAAACCGGGAGGAGTCGCGCACACCTGGCCGTTTTCCCATCCGCGGGAGATCAACGGACAAATGACACGCGATTCCGTACAAGCCCTCGCGATGGCGATGCTCCGCATTTACCGTCAGTTACAAACTACCCGACCCCGGTCTCTCTCTCCCTCTACCACCCTCGCGCCGGGTCACGATTAATGTCTTATTCGCGCGTGCGAGAGGTCACATCGAGAGAAAGAGAAAGAGAGAGGGAGAAGGAGAAAAAACGAGAGATTACAACCGGGAGATGAGAATGAACGCGAAAAAAGCTGCTCGGCTGTATCTGGAGCACGATATTACGTCGCCAAAAATTATCTTGCTGTACGGAATTTCTGACAGTTGCAAGAACGTGTTCGAGGAGACGTGTTTTGACCTCGAAGAAAGGACCCACGTGGAATCCTGTCTACCCACATGCCGACGCGCGTGCCGTTTGATTACGATGTCGGCAGTAAATCCGCAGCCGCGGTAATTCCTCCTCTGGCAATTGTAGATAAAACTTGAATAAGTCATAGACTTAATTTAACCCATAGCAGCGTTCAACGGCGGTCTGGCGCCTTCCACGGAGATTTCTTAATTACGAGCGGGACCCTCTCGAAGACAAGAGAACGAGGATAGGGAGATAGGGAGAGAAAGAGAAAGAGAGAGATGCATACTGGGAAACGAAAGCGCAAAATAAGGGAGAGAAAGAGACGGAAGTGCTGGTGGCTGTAGGGGGAAAGGGTTCTCCACGGCGACGAGATTTAAGAATCCTTCCTAAGGAAAAAAAATCGCCCCCCCCCCGTCGCGGGAGACAGATGATAAAGCATTTCTCCAGCGCACGCTTTGTCATTTTTATCATAATTATTTACGAGTTAATTACTCCGCAACCCGGTGCCGGCTACACTTTCTTGCGTTTTTAAAACGAGAAAAATGCTTTATTAAGACACTTCGGAGATAACACCTTTCACAGGATCCCGGTAATAGATCTGCTCTCTCCCTCATTCTATTCTCCCATTGCATACAGTGAGAAACAAAAGCGAAATATTTAAAAACAGGCAAAAGATAAGAGGGATAATTATGTTAAAAAAATAGACGAACGAGATTTATCGTTGATAAATTCCGTTGCAACCGTTGGTGTATATAGTTTTGCATTCTTGGAAATAAAATATTCTTGGTATAATAATAAGTACGAATCGAGATCGACGACGTTTCGTTCATCGCGTCGCAACAAGACGTTTCCGCGCGGCGCGGGATAATTGCCGAAAATGGAGGCCTTAATTCAGCGCCGTGCGAAAGTTAGTATGATCAACTTACGGGCCGAAATCGTGGCGGGGATGGGAGGGTGGATTCCGTCACGAGGGGTTGAGCCGCGCACGGTCTGCCGAATTTTAAGCCTGTATAATTTAACACCTTTACTGCAGAAACTAAGAGAAACTGAAGGGAAAGACGGTGAGAGAGAGAGGGCGGGGGGGGGAGAGGGGAGGCACGCGTGTTCGCGAGGAACGACGAGAGACGGCAACGAAGATCGAAAGACGACGAGGAAGCAGGATCGACAGGATAAGACGAAGGGACGATAAGAGGGAGGATGGGGCGGAGGGAATGCAAAGTTTGAAGTTTTCAACGGCACTTACCTAGCCTAGTATACACTCTCTGCCTCTCCCACGGATGCTCTGTACCCACCAGCGCGCGGATATTGCCCACCAGGCTAGAGACGGAGATGGATAAAGAATCGGTTTTGCGAGGACGAAGAAGAGGGAACCGCCCAAGTTGAGTCGCGCCGCCCCTCCTCCTCTTTTTGCCCGGGCGCACTGAGATACAAATTCATTCCGCCGGTCTTTTGTTTTTGAAGTGGAGACTTAGACGGCACGTTACATAGGAACGAGAGGCGGGGAGGGAGGATGAGGGAAAAGAGAGAGAAACGCGAATTCGTTAGCGTTGTCAACCCCTTAAGAGGGCGAGCGACCCCGCCCGCTGAATTTTACGTGCCGCGTCGTGAATAATTGTTAAAATCGAATAAGGAGACCGCCGAGAGCCGATTGATCGACCGAATTTATTCCTGGATTTTGTAAGGTGCTGCTTAAACGGATTATATTCTTCAGAATTACAAATTCGTCCTATGCATTCTGATATGCATTTAAGCGCTTGCTAAATGATTTTCACGAGAATAAATTGGACTTAATTCTTAACCGATATGCTTCTCGACCGGTTAAGCGCAACTCGGAGAGAAATTAGTGGTGGAATCCATAAGGTTTATCCAATTTGGATTAAATGTGTGTTATACGATCGTTACGTATAAAATATTAAAATCGATTTCAGTAAACGATATGATGCATGTTTTATTTATAATCACGTGTCAGGATCAGTGACGTGATTAAATTAAGCTATATTCCTAACAATTAACATTTTCTAATAATTAATTATACATACGAACTTACTGTATGCCAGTATTAATTTTTGTTTAATCTTTCATTTTGCGCACTACCCCGAACAAAACGATAACAGACAAGAAACTTTTTCGGTCTATAGACATTTTAAATATTGTAATCACATATATATCGTTTTCACTCTATATATCGTCCGTCGATTTAAATTACAAAAGAGAAAGTTGTCCACGCGTCTTTTTCCAGATAATAGTCGCGACTATTTGCAGCAATGTTCTTCAACGATTAACCATGGCTAATTAAATCTTCTTTCTCAATCTATGTTGCAGCTAGAATTATAATCTAGACAAGGACACGAGTCACTAACCAGAATTTGTTAACTAAGGCGAGTCAGTGCGATTCACCTTCAGTGGGACGGTATATCACACGCATTGATATTGATAAATCACATAGATTACTAGTTGTTGAGAAAAAAAAATCTTTAACGAAAGAGTGCGTGCACATAAGTGTATACAGAGAAATATGTTTCACGTACTATACACATACGTGTATATATAGAGAAATATGAATGTGCTACTTCGATATCTCGCGTTTCCGCTGTTCCGCGGCGGTGTTATTGTTCCACGGGCACTCTTTATGAAGGACGTGTGTGGTGCCCCCGGGTAACACATAAATTTTCCGCTAAGTCGAGATCGTCGATCGAAAGCCAAATTGAAAGAGAGAAACCGAACCGAGCCCGAAACACCGTATGTACAGTGACTGTCCGCTGATCCTCACGCGTCTTCTTTTATCTTGCAGAACGCAGCGGGTGGGCCTCACCGACAGGCGAACGGGGAGGCGGCGGCCCATAACCACAACGGATATCCAGCGCCAGCCAGCTCGAGCGCCCATAACGTCCTGAACCCCATGAATAATTTAAACGGTATCAATGCGCAAGCATCGTACGATGCCAAATGACAAACGAAGTAAGCGCCGATATATCGATTGAGTCGCGCGAGGCGAGGGGGGATCGGACACTCTCTCGCGTGTACGCCCGGTTTCTCATTGTCTTCGTGGTTTTACCGCCGCTGATCGTCCTGACTTTAGCACGCGACCCACGGTAGAATTGCGCATAATCGAATATCCCTTAACTATCGAGAAGAGAAAAAAGTATCGTCAAGTTATCGCGAACGAAGAAAGATGTTATCGCGCGTATAGATATGTATTATATATGTAATCGCATTAAACGGTCCGCTTCGTGTCGCGATCGATCTTCGATCGATCGGGCAAACTTGAAGTTCATGTAAATAGATAGGCGTAAAAAGTATGCTAGAGGGTTGTGCAGACAACGCGAGTAAGCGGCGTAGGAGAATTTAAAATGCATATATCTGTGACAAAATAATATAAAACGAGACAAAAATACATCGTGCATTTTTCATGATTTGCTTTTGAAATTGATATTTCCCGATAAATGACAAAATTGCCAAATTGCTGCTGCTTCTCCTACGCTATCTTAGGCGTCGTTTGGCGAATGCATATTTCCCGGGCGAATTATTATTCCGTCTTCTCGAATAGATTCTCTCCAGTATAAGATAGAACGTGAGGGAAGAATATATAAATCCAAAATGCGTCTTACGTTTCTTGCATTCAATTAGATTCGTGTATCTGAACGAATTTTCGTCTTCCCCACGCTCGACTGGCTAAACGATAAACAAGTAGATAGATAGTCAAATAGATAAGTAGATAGATAGCTAACGGAAACGTATATTTGGCCAACTACGGCGAACTATTGGTGCTCTTTAGATTGTAATCGATCGAGTTTGCATGAGATTCAATTCAGACTGCTAAAGCGTATATCGCTTAAGGAAAAATATAAGAAAAAAAACCAGAAGTAAAATCTGCGACCTGTGGAAATTTACGGGCTGGAGAAGCATTTCCGTCGCGATCCTTCCCGGATTTATCCGCTTTCATGATGAGAAATCCTACTTGGCAAACGTATCTATCGACTTCCAGTCGGTGCAAGATATCTTTAACAGCCGGCGCGCGTCACATGAACCGAAACCCGAAACTTCGGGGTGGTAGATAAAGTTCGGTGTCGCGCATTTAACGTTCGTCTCGCCGAGCGGGGGGGCGGTGTCGGTGAGGAGACACACAAATACAGAATGACCCCTCAGAGGGCCCCTGGTCCTGCCGGACGGAGCATCGAGAACGAGATCGAATCGACGGGCTTCGAGAAAGCGACGCGGTACTGCAGCAGCGGCAGCGGCAAACCGCTCGTCGGCTCGCCCAATCGCCCCCCATGGGGCTCATACGTTAGGGGTGACTTAAGCATTGTTTCAACTTCGAATCTCCCGGCAGAGGCCCCAGATTGATGTCGCGAACTTTTCCGCTGCCTTATTTGCGAGTCAGATAACGAGACTGAGTTATGCCCAAAGTTCTCTCTTGATCTCTCTCACTTGCTCCGGCCCGGCTCGTGCGCTGATCGTATCGGATCACGAGGAATACCCGCAGTCGAGAAGAATGTTTTATTTCCACCCTCTTCGGGGATTCCTCGTCGTCTATATGCCGAAAGTATACCTACGTCGTACGGTAATAAGGCTGGCAGCTGCGCCGAGAAAGCTGCTAAGGACTAACCTTTAAGAAACGCGATTCTCGCGGTTTTCAAATAAGGCCGCGAATCAGAAGAAAGATCTTTGTTGCTTGCGATTGGCGAAAGGAGGCAATAATTATTGTTGATTATTAACGGTAAAAGGATTTAAAGAATAAATATTGCAGCCACAACTCCGCGAAACTAATTGGAGTTGACTATATGAATTCGTCGTTAACAAATTGGGTTAATAAATATTTTTTTAGATTATATCATTTTCTTACGTTATACAATAATATGCAATTTTATGCGAATGTAGCAATAATAGCTTGGTTTCTCCTAAAATATTTTTTATATATGTAGTACCTTCTACACATGGTTTTGTAATTTGGTTTAAAAATATGTTAAAAGAAATATATGCATGTATACAAATATTAAATGACTGCGCATCTTTCGGACTATAAATAATATTATACGTAACATAATAACGAGTGCCAATTTGTCAGCGCGCACTGTCCTTCGCAAATAAAAGCACCGTACAAGTACCGCATTTATTTCAATCTGCCAAAATTGATTTGGTAAACGTCTCGAATTGTCGAAGGGGACAAGGAGAGAGAGAGAGACAGCTATTGCCGACTTGCAGTTCATATTTTGATACTACAACATGAGTCTCGCGATACACAAGTTGCATTCACCGAGGGCGCGTTAAAGTCGCCTGGCTGAACCGGACGCGCGATTCCTTTCGACATTCAAACGTGTTTTAACGACTACGCAATAAATAATTCTCTCGCAAAATATTATCGTGGCGATTCCAGAATAAAATCACAGCACAGTTCCTAACGCGAAGGGTGTTCGACAAAGTGACGGATGATCGCTAGAGAGACACATTTTTACCACGTATTACGCGACTACCGTCGAATGAACGTTTTAACAAGGCACAGCCAGTGCGAGCATCGGAGCCCTTTTGTACATTGTATCCTACGGTATCGCTTTCTAAATCCTCTCCGCAACTCCTTCCCCTCCGCAACCCCGCGTAAATCATGGGGCGGCGCTATTACGCATCCCCATAGTACTGATCGCGCTTGGATCACGATGTACGAAAGAACCCGAGATCATTTTAATTAAGAAAGTGTGTAACGTTCGCTAGTATGTAGATACGTTTTGTATTTATAGTTCTATCATAGAGGTATTAATAAATTTGTTTCGATGTTATGCAAAATGTTGCAGTTGTGTGATTTTGAATCAACGTGGCGCGAGTTACCGAAGCGGACGAAAACTTATAGATCTTTAGACATTACAAGAGTATAGCAAACAACTGCCATTTTCTACTTAATCTTGGTTCCTGCCTTGAGTTCTTCATTGGAGATCTAAATGCAATAACCAATTATTAAAGAATCAAATAATTAAGTCAGGCAAAAATGGCGGTCCAAAAGGAAAGTTTGGAAAAAATGTTGCAAAAAATCTTGACATTCTAGCAACCAGAGCATCTTACTGGCCCTACATAATTATTTTGATCAAAAAAATATTTTCAGATCTCTAGCTAAATTTTTAGATACTGCAGTAAAACCAGTATTTTTTCCCTGCCAATTGGGAAAACTTGATTGTCAGCATTCAATGACATAAATTGACATAAAAGGATTCTTGTAATATCTGAAGTTCTACTAAAACCGGCTCTCACCTCGTTCCCCGTTTTTTTCTTCATTTTTCTTAAAGGTTTATGCTGCTGTTTCCTACTGCGAGCGCGCGCGATATTGATTCGCAACGTTGCGACGCGGGAATCAACACGCAAAAATGACTCTCGTCGCCTCTCGGCTCTCCCCCTTCTTTCTCCTTCTGCATCCGCCGCGTTTTCGTATCTCCCTTGAATTATTTAAGGGCGCTACGTGATTGGCCGACAAATCCGGTCCGCCTCAATAATTTACCAATCATACGCGGTCCTTTGTGTTTTATACGCCGCGTTTCGAATAAATCGCATTGTGTATTCAGGAGAGCGGCGTCCAACTCTATTCGAGTGCGAACGCGAACCCTCTCCACGCGTATCCGGCGTGTCGAAAGGAAAAAAAAAAGGCGAAGCGAAGAAACGGAAGAGGAAGCGACCGGGTGAGATCCCGCCAAAGGCCGGGGGCTGCGATCTTCCGCGCACGATTCGCACGAATTGACTCGAAATTCGGCTGAACATCGCGAATTTATGACGAAGCCGCGTATAGGAAAGGCGATATTTTCCCCTTTCCTCCATAACGCTCGGGTTCACAAGTATTGCTAACGCGAAAGTTAAGTTTAATACTTGATGTATCCCGCAGCGCAGCACACTGAATATTTTCGAGCGAGAGCTCGCGAGATCGAAAATTGGAAAGAAGAAAACACCGTCCTAATACCCCCGTATGAATTAATACGTGTTTCTTCTACCAAGGGCTACAATCCCCGGACGAATTCCGCTTGAATAAATGCGTAATGGAGGATGATCGAGATCCAGCCCACGGCGTACGCTCGGCGACTCCTCGGGAATCCATAAAGTACACCATCCACGAGGCAATTTGTTCTCCGAAGAATTAATGCGCTCGCGATGCTTTTTAATATCGACATATCTCGACGGGCAGAGGGGGGGAGTGGAATTTGACGGAACAACCGTCGCCGGATAACGGAAGGTGATTTAACGTCACGGCGGGCGCAACTGCTTATCTATAATCCGACGGGCGGACGGTAAGTAAACGAAGCGGGGAAACGAGAGAGAGAGAGAGACCGGTCGAGCATTCGATGCAAATTGGCAATTTTTCCTCGTACCCCGGGCTCGCGGTAATCATTGGCAATTAGAGCACGGGGCATCTCTCCCCTCGGGCCCCTCCTTCCTTGCACTGCTCCCTCGATAAATGTTATTTATGACTATGATTATCCGGGGCGCACCTCTAGCCGTCCGTTAGGTCCGCCTAACTACAAGCCTCCCGACCGTCTAATTGGCTGTCGATTACTCCTGTTTGTACAAAACGCGGCACTTCGTTGCGAGCGTAAACGAGGAGCTCTCTCTCCCTCTCCTCCTCCCCCCCTTCTCCGCCCCTCCCCGGCCGAATCATGCATTTCGCTCCTTTAATCGTCGCACTCGTCACGCGGAACGGACACGTATTTGCAGTAAGCGAAAATTATAACCACGGAAGAGTGATTAGGCTCGCCTTCAATGACCTACGATTCTCGAACGCTCGGGACGAATTATAAACTATTTACAGTTTCACGTGCCGCGTAAAGTACAAAGGGCATTCAAACGGAATACACGCATGGATACGCGCAGAACGTGAAAATTATATAAATATAATAGAATTCAGTGGATTGAAAATCGTCTAAACTGAGATGCTCTCATAACACAGAAAGAACAATTTTGCTAAAGTAAAAATTAAGCTAGATACAGATCTGAAAATAATTTTATTGGACCATCAAAATAATTTATATAAAACGCTCAAGCATATAAACAGTGTTGCGAAAAGTGTTGACAACCAGCTTGAGCGTCTTACATAATTATTGTGATTGATTTAATAAAATTATTTTCAAATCTGTATCTAGCTGAATTTCTATAGACATTTCAGCAGAACTGTTCTCTCCGTGCAGTTTATTATTTTTGCAAGCGCATTTATCCGCGGGATAACGCGAGCGTTTCGTGTTTAAAACGCCATACCAAATACAAATATATAGACGTTAGGTATATCGTTTTAAACTAGACATCGCGCGAGAGGAGCGAACAGCCGACACACTGGCGCGATCAGTATTTACACGTCGGAAGTGCGCATCGAATCGCGTTCTCTCCTCTCGTAAACGCGGAATCGTTATTTCCGTTCGGACTGTTCCCTCCCCTCCCCCCTCCCCCTCCCGGTGTGTTTAATCGCGAGCAAATTACCTCGAATCAAATCGCAAAACTCCCCCGCGGCTACGAGCAACTTGCGAGAAACGAGCGTCATTATCTGCTCGCTAACAATTTTTCCAGGCGCCCTTTTCGTCGTCGCGAAAAAAGAAGGAGAAGCAGAGGGAAGCGTCGCGGTGTGCGGGTTTGCGTAAATCACGCAAATCACGTATTGCGCGCACCGGGGAATCCCGGGAAGTTTGCGGGGAAAATGGAGAGGGACGGAGAGAGAATCGCGCGGCAACGGCATTTTTCCACAAGCGCGCGAGCGGTCTCTGAAACAATATTATTACTAAAAGCCGTCCCGGACTGCTTCTCGCGAGGTCCGGTCGGCCGGTCGCTCGCCGCGCGCGCGAAGAGAAATGGCGGACCGTCCGGCGACGGAGGAGCGATTAATTAAAAGAGCAAAAACTGTTTTCATAAAATTCATTTGCGGAAATATGCGCCGACTGAAATAATATCCGGCCGCCGATGGGAAAGCGCGTCGTCCCGTTCCGAGCGTGGCCGCTCGGTGTAGCCGGCGCGGTCCGGCCGCTGTCGCGTCGCATCCGAGTGTAAAAAGAGCGAGAGAGGTGAAATAAAAATGAAGGCCGTACGATGCAAGAGTTTTCACATTTTTCTGCGCCCGCCGTAGTCGGTGCGTGCCGTGTGCCATGCGTAAATGGGGAGCCAGCTCGTTTGGCTTGGACTTTAAGTCGGGCGCGCTGATATTAAAGTTCGCTTCGGGATCGATCGCGCGCGATGAGAGAATGAGGAATAACATCATTTGTCGGTTTCATGGCAATTATATCTTTTCCAAACAACCGTCAAAGAAAATAAAGAGACGTCGTCTAGTAAATTCTACATTATCACTTTAGAAACTAGACTATCGAACTAGGATATAAAATATTTATGGATCTTCCAATTGTGAATTCTTTTAATTTTCAAGCATATCTAAACACATTATTATTAATAAATATATGAATGTACGAAAAATTAGAATGGTATTGACGTATTGGAAGAAAATTAAATACAATTAATTATCATTAGCGCTTTTTTCGATAAATATTTTTTACAAATTTAAAATAATTTAAGATATGACTCGCAACAGCAGAGTAAACTATGTTGTAACTACATTAAACATTAAAATACAATTAAATATAAATTTACATCAGCATTCAAGTGATTGATATTTTAAAAAATAATTATTACATACAAGTGAAATAATTATAATTTCTTTTTTCTTAAATTTAAATTTCTATATTTCTTTAAAAGTCTATCTTTTTCATATAAATAATCTAAATGAAAAATTAATTAATTCTCATGAATTATTTCACCGTCGCCCGATGTCTCCCAGGTTTCCTCCCTTTCATTACATCTTGCTTCTTGTGATTTACACACAATACTACTCGCGAAATACACGTTTAAAAAATGAAATAACTTTGGGGCCAAATATATTGTCAAATATATATACCAGTTAATTATTTATTGATTAAATAGATCGATGCGAGGTCATTTCTTTTTGATTCGCGACATTCCATTAACGAAGAATTTGAAAATAGCACCGGGCAAACTTTAATACCGTGAGACGCGATCAATAAAATCGAGTTAATGGATAATTAAAACGCGATGAACCGTCCGGAAACGTACAGTCAAGATTCAGTACTGCATTCCCAATGAATCTGGAATACATAAATCTTGCGAAATATATACGGACTATTAATAAACGCCCAATACATTACAGCTTCCTGTTACGCGAGTCACTCAATTATTATTAAGTGCTCTTATTCTGAAACTTCCGATGGGCAAGTCGGCGAAAAAGCGCGATGTGTCCGAATCCAAGTATAGTATTGTAGTTAAAGAATTATCTATAATCTATATCTATTATTTATCAACTTATTTTTCGCTATAAAAAAATAAACAAGTTTTCCCAAAAAGTAAAATTAAAACACCATGAAAATGTGATATATCAATTTTAATATCAAATGCATTATTAAATAACGACATTGTCGAATTTATTATTCATTTAGAAAAAAAATAAGCGTAAACCAAGAAGTAAAATTTCAAGTGCATACCTTTTTTTAAATATATAAAATCTTTTTCTATTTTAATTTCATTTGAATATAGCTCTTTTCAACTTTAATTCCATTTTCAATTTTATTTTATTTCTTTAAATCTCATGATGAAAAGAGCAAGATGTTTATTATTCTATACGTGAAATAAAAATAAACATATAAAATTAATAATAAATTAATAATAAACAAATAGGATATTGATCTACTGAATATGCCAAGGAAAAACTGTTGACAGTTGTATTTATAAATATGATATAATTCATTTTCCCTCCTATCTTCCTA